GTACAGATCTCTGTATCTTACTACAGAGATTTGAATTTTGCATAGAAATGTGACAGACCTTCTATAGCTCTTTTATTCCATGGCCTTTGGCCATAGTGGTGACTGATCACACTACTTGCATTCAGTGAAATAGGCCCTAGTTCACAATAGCTTGCAACATAATCAATCTGATAGCATTTAAGGTTCTGCAAGCCCCTTTCATGTGTTTGTCACATTCATTTTACATTTTTATATACCTTAAAAATGTAATGAGCAAGTGGTTTCTGGCTGGCCAGTTACAGGCTCTTTCAGGGCACTAGAAGCACCAATCATTTCACCCCTATTTAATGGCAATGGCTTCTTTCAAACCATGCTGAGGATTGTAGTTTCCTGAAGAGATTAGCTCTGCTCAGTTGCAGGTTCCTAGCCCTCCCCTTCTCTTGATGACAGTCATAGAATTTCCTGAGGAGGCAGAAAGAGGGTTAAACCAAAGCTTGCAAATTTAATCCCCTTCATCTCCTGTATTACTTTGTCATGGATATGCCAATTCCATTTACATTTTGGTTCTTCAAATGGGTTGATTTTCTGCAATTTCCCAAAAATGGCTGCATGTGACTACATGCATGTGGCTCCCTTGACAACAGCTTCATATGGACTGGAAAATGTGAACAAGCCATGAATGCAGAACTTCAGACTTTTTTCAATGAATCAGCTCACAGGTTTAGCTAGCAATCACACATACTCTATCAGGTGAGAAGCATCTGCATGCAGATCAGTCCAAAGAGAAGCCCTCACACCAAGAACTGGGATAAAAAGACAAACTGACAAGAGGAATGAAGCAAACCACCCCAAAAGCTTCATATCTAGACATGCAAGCAGATTCTTGGACTGATATCCCCTCCCTTTTCTCAGCTCCAAGGTTTGCACCCTCATGTCCTAGTCCTGGAGATAGGGGTTGCCGGGCCTCAGCAAAGGAAGGTGGGTGCAGCAGTGGAATAAAGTACTATTACTGCTCCTAGTACTTTGGCATTTAAAAATGCCGAAGTAGTAAAAAATTACTCATGTTTGTGTTAATGGTAACCCGCAGGGTAAATCAAAAAGACATAAAACTGCAGAACTTCTAACATGGGAGCTTGGGGTAGAAAAGTTGATGTAATAACTGAAATTAGTTGGTTAATGGCCAAGTCAGCATGGGTGCAAACTGTCCCACCACCTGAGGTGGGAAAGTACACATGGCAGTGGTGTCACCTGTGCTGCGAGTAGTTTCCAGGCACATCCATCCTCCCACAATGCCTGGAAAGACCCTCCAGAAGCAGGCATTTGGCTGAGGAGCTGCACCATGCTCTTTTCTGGGCAGCACAGCTCTCCAGAGAGCACAGCTGCCTATCAGCTCCCTCCAAGAGGATCCGCTGAATGGTGGCAGCAGCAGTGACCATGGGGTGAGGATGTGGCTTTGGCAGGGGCAACCGTAGCAAAGGGAGGCAGCCTAGCAGCAGCAAGTTCTCCTGCCGGGGTGTGTGAGCATGTAATTCACTGCTCCTTCTTTACCACCAACGGTGATGGGGGGTTCACCCTGCTTCATGGAATGTGACTGCATCTGGTTTATGTAAAATGTGGCATGCTTGAATTCATAAAAAAATCAGGAAAATATGCAGCAATATCTGATAAAGACTTTTCTAAAAGATTAGGGAAAAAAGGGACCATTCCCATGGGCTGTGCCCTCACTGCTTGGAAGCCCTCAATCTTGGGGGTGTCCAAGGTTTCTATGAACTACTGGGCTGAAGCCAGCAGGGTAGGAGAAGTGGTGAAGCCATATTTGCCTTGTTGCCCTCCACTGTTTAGTAGATTCACTAGAATGGATTGTTCAGCCCATCTAGCAATTATGCTTCAAACTGGGAGGGAAGGAGGCTAGAAGAGGTTCACGATAACTTATATCCTAGCCTCTTCCCTCTCTGCCCACTAGAATGCCCTCTTTTCTCACCCCCTGGGGTTGCTTTTCCAACCTTGGAGAAGCAGCCAGCACTGTTCTTTTCATGCTGGCTGCGAGGGGGAGATGTCTGGGGTCAAATCTCAGAGGTGCCCTTCCAAGGTTGGAGTATTGTCTCTGAGCTCACAGGGGTTTCCCGTGCCACCCCTTGGCCTCTGGCACACTCACCCAGGATCCATAAGACTGCTCTTTTTGTAAAATTTGTTAGGAAGGTTCATAAAGAAAAATCTAAGTAGCCAATGTATTTCAGTTGCATTTTTGCCTTTAAAATAATGAGGAGGGGGAACAGAATGTACTACTCTGTGTCAGTATCTAGATTTAAATTGAATGTATTTTTTGTTTGTTAGATTTGATGTAGCCTGTACTGCAGTCATATCAGGATGGATGCTTTTCAGTTTTGCAGAAGGGACAGAAAGCTCACATTTGTAAAAGTCTGAGACCGTTCTCTGCGATAATGGCAAACTATTGTTCCCTGTTGGGTTTTGCAGAGTTGGGGAAAATTAAGGTCACCTTTATTTTTGTTCAAGGCATTAAAAAGATTTTGTGTGTGTGTGTGTGTGTGTGTGAAAGAGAGAGAGAGAGAGAGAGAGAGAGAAAATGGCAGTTAGTCATAGGATGTTGTAGCAAGATCAGATAAAAACACAGCAACAAAGATCAGCTTATAACATTATGGCAAGCGACTGTTTAATCTGGGTGCAAGAGTTGTGGGGGAGGCAGAAGAGGATGCACAGTACTGGTATTTGGACATTTTCACAGCTGGAACAAACAGTATTCCTGCTCTAAACTGAGACTCATTAAAAAATGCCCAAATATGGAGGTTAAGGACAGGAAAGGTAGACCTCTTCTGGGTTCTTGCGGACAAAGGTGTTATAGGGTGCTTGTGCTTCACATGGTATCATGAAAAGCCTTGGAGAGTTTGGCTACTGACCTAATAAGGCTCCACTGGACTTCACAACTTTAATTAGTTTGCCAACTGGCCAAGGGGAAAGACTAGATCTGATCTGTCCCTGTGTTTTTAGCAGAGATTCTGATCTGCAGATATGGATGGGTGACGTTTTTAAAGCATCAGAGGTACACAACAACACTTGCTAAAATCATGCAGCTACAGAAGCTAATTAAATAGCTGAAAAGCATGCCTTTTTGTTAGTAAATTAATGAACTAAAGGTTGAATTGTTTAAGCCAGGAAGGAGCAAATCATCAGTTGGGATAAGTGATAAATGCATGTTTACTTAATATTTTCTTTTGGTCCCTTACTATAGAAGTCTATTAGAGCCTAAATATCTGGAAAAAATTAAAGGTAGTCTTTCCCTCCAGCAATGGTTTGTGGCCTTTGTTGATCAAATTGTTCCATTTATTTATTTAAAGATTCTGAAACTGAGGTCTTGATTATGTACAAATATATCTAAATATAGATGCAGACAAAGATCCTGTTCAGATGCAGTCATGGCATCCAGCAGCAAATTGCAGGATGAGCACAAAATTTCAGATATGTATGATATACAAGTTGTTTCCAGTTTCTTGCAACAGCCTCCAAATGCAGCCTTCATAAGTTCTTTCTGAAGTGACTGAATGGGGACAATGTGGGGTTGTTCATGGGTTCATCCCTAAGTTAATCCACAGTTTGTTCTTGGGTTAACATGGGGTTGTTTGACTGACAAACTGCCCCTGTTTCAAGAACATATGAAAGCTGCATTCATAGGTTGTTCCAGGAAACTGGAAATGGATTGCTTGCAGCATGCTCCCCTATTAATTAATTAAGCCACAAATTGCCGCTGGACACCAGTGTTCCATCTGAAAAGTCCATAAATCAACTATTTGCATGGTTGACAATTTTTTATTTTCCTTTCAAGGATGTTTTCTTTTGTTTTTGCAATGTTCAATTAATTTTAGTTGCATAAGGTCATTCTGCAAATTGAAATCTCATCATAATAATCCTATTACAGTTATCAAGTTTCAGCAATATGTGTTATGCATGCAGGAGAGGGGGGAATGCAGCACATATATCAGTATTTTTAAAAATCTACCTTGTTAATACTTGTACTAATAATATTAATACTGTACTATAAACAATAGCATTAATCAATACTAATAACTTATAGGATAACTGAGAAAAGAAATTATTGTAAAAAGGGCCAGAAATAGCTGAAAGAATTGATTCGTAAACTTTTCTTTATGTTCTCCACGAAGATTTTATATTCAGAATATGTTTAAAACAGTATAACTAACATTAAAAAATTTCTGTGAAGCTGTATTTTATGTGTGTGTGTATCTACCTGCATATGTGTCTTCCATTTTAATACTATAGCTGTGATTATTATTTTAATATTTAATAATAATAATAATTATTATTATTAAAATTATTTGCTCCTGATATCCAACTGTGATAGGAAGAGAAAAATAAAATATTAAAGCGGTTCTCTTTATCTAAAAACAGTAAATGTGTATGCAATGTCTTCCCTGTTTATTGAGATATTAGAAATATGGAAAAGTATTTAGATTTGATTCACAGGAAGTTAGTTGGCTAAAACAAGTTTGCACAAACTTGTGAAACAGTGAATAACAATCACATCCCACAGTGGGATAATTGATGCAAAAACTCAGATATTTCCTTATAAGGATCTGATTGCATCCTAATAGCGTAATTCCACTCTTTATACATCTTCTGAATCATGGTTGTCTGAATTTGGTCTGTAAGCTTGGAGAAATGTCACTGATATCAATGGAAATCAATCTAAAGCTCTCTTTAAGGTGTGGGCTTTTCAAAGAGTTTACCCCACAACCTCTACAGAGAGATCGGCATATGCCAAGGAAGACACATAAAGCAGAGGATTTTGAGCAAATGGGTGGAGAAGATAGGCACAGAAGAGTCTCCACAAACACTTCAGGGTTTTGGAAGTAAATACTGTTTCTTGTATTTGACATACTATTAAATTCTGCATTCAAAAAACACAAGATTTGGAATTTACCCATGCAGAATAACCATCTCTTTTGATGGCTGTTCCCCAAAAAGATTCTATTAAAAAAATTCCTTACCAATAAATTTCTGTGGCATGGAACTTTTCCGTTTGGCCACATTGCTCGCTAAACGGTCCAGTACAAGGGCCCTTTCCGTCCCCATCTCGGTTTTGCAATGCCTTCCCTCCGTGCTTTCTAGATTGGGAAAACCAAAAGAAAAAAATCAAGCTAAACAATAAAAATAGATTGAAAAAGGAAGAAAGGAAGGGTAGAACAAGCAGTTGCCCACAAAAGTTCAGCCAGGAGAACTGAATGGAACATGCTGTATGGTGGTGGCAGTTTCCACCCTCCACCCTCCCTGTTTCTTTTTGGTCTCATACCTCTATTTCACCCTTGTGGTCAGCCGAGCTCGAGGCAACACACCACACATCCAAACCTTGTGATTCTCAGACCCACAATAGGGAGCAAATAACTTCACAGAATTAACATCTCGTTGAACACTTCCTCTTGCTAATGAAAACAGTCTGGACTTGGTGGTTATGAAATGCAGAGGGAGGCCTTGTCCCGCCCAACTTTCCATTTGATTTTGAGTAAGGCTGCAAAACACCTGCAGACAGGCCCTGTGCACTTAAAAGGCAATTGCACAAGTAAAGCATTTATGTCCTTTGCTTAGCGTATTTGATATGCTAAATGTGTGTGTGCTGGGGGGGGTTATAAAACCTTGATATCTTCACTTAAAATACTATTGCTATATTCTTATTATCTCCATTGAATTGTATCCAGACTTAATCCCACTTAGAGTAGACCAATTGAATTCAATAGATTTTAAGTTGGCGCGTAATGATTTCAATGGGTCTGCTCTACATACAGTAAAGTCTGGAGCCAACACAGGATTTGTATTGGAAGTGGAATCACCAACAAATCAGAATGGAATGGTGCTGTTCCTGTTCCTGTTCCTGTTCCAATCAGCTGATACCTCTTCCAGGATATGCCATTCAGTTTCCCCTGCCAACAGACCCACAGCACTTTGTGGCCACTGAGAATGCTCAGTTCTCATTGGCCTGTTTTAGGATTGTTTGCAGCTGGTTGTCCATGATATGCTGGACTAGATGGACTCATGATCTGATCCAGCAAGGCCCTTCTTATGTTCATATGGCTTGCTCCCCCAAAACTTTTTGTACTTCTGTAAACTTCCGGGTTCCCTTTTGTTTCTCAATGGCTCCATTTTGGCTACAGTCTTCTTGGCACTCACCTGGTGAAGTTTGCTAGTACTTATGATGACTATGCTGTGATTATCGTTATTGTTACTTTTATTCAGAACAACTGGAATACAAGACATTTTACAGGCTCACATGCGAAAAAATGCAAGTCTTTATTTTTCAGGTGCTTATATGTAAATTTATACGGAAGGGAAGACAAGGCAGGGGGGAGATAGAGAGCAAAAGGGAGAGAGAAAAGAGAGGGATGGAGAGGTAAGAGTAACCACAGAAGAATGTGTATACAAAAGAAGTGCATGCAATCAGCTCTCTCCACAATGTGCACACAGCTTCCACCTGCTTGGGTCCTCACCATGAACCCAAGGCTCCCATGCCGCTGCAACAACATTTGGACTTAGGTTTTATTTCAGTAAGCAGAGGCTGAGCAAAGGATAGATTTGTATTTTGAAGAGGGACTTGAAGGAAAGGAGGTAGAGATAGCACTGCAGAAAAGAGAGTGGGCAGGGCCTGCAGAAATAGACTTTTTGTTGACAGAGGGCAGTGGAGTTGGAGATATGAAGGTCACAGGCATTGAGATATATATAAGAGCAGGGGGAAATCAGGAAGTGCTTTGAAGACTGCAATTCAAACTAAAAAGGATCCAAGATTTCTCTCTTTTTAACAATTAAAAATTAAAATTATTCATGCTGGATACAAGGCTTGTCAATTTCAAATAAGAGCATAAAGGGAAAGCAGATACAAAAAGTGAAGAACTAGTCAATATGGGTTTTATAAGACTTACAAAATTAATATTAAGCATCATCTAATTATAATATGCTAGTTTAAAAGTTTAAAATATGTAAACTTTTCAGTGCAGGGATATTTTGCCTGTTCCCATATCATGTTAATAAAGTATCATGTACACAGACTGCATAAAAATAATAGCAATGATAATATGCTAAATCTCTCTATCCTAATTGGAGAAAAGGGTTTAATTAGAAGTTTTATCTATTTCATTATATCAATGAGAGCTGATATTCCTCATCTGCCAACCGTAGATCTGGTCTTTTGTTAAATAAGGCTCACAAATCAGATTCAACGAAGTACCAATGTAATTTAGAATAGTGGTATTCATGTAAAGTTCTTCAGAGCCCTGAACTTCTAGGAAGTTTATCAGAAGACTGACTAACAAGAAGACTGGTAACAGCAGACAACCTTTCTGGAAGACAGCTTACTCTTAACTTATTTCTCCATAGAATATGAAGGCGCAAGGAAATGCTTGGAGTATTTGAGGTGACAGTTTTCACAGTGTGACAGCCCTGACACTTGTAGCCATAACTCTGCATTCGATCATTTTAAGATATATCTCAGAGTAAAGCAAAAACAACAAAGCAATTCTTGTGCCATCTTAAAGACTAAACATGTATTGTGGCATAAGGCTTGGGGGCAAGAAGCTATTTCATGAAATGAGGCCCATCATTTTCGTTGTGAGCCACCCCGAGGCTTTGTTGCGATGGGGGCGGCATAAAAATGTTTTAAATAAATAAATAAAATGCTTTGATCTATGAAAGCTTATGCCACAAAGAATTTGTCAATCTCTCTTTATAACTATATTTTTCTTATTTCATTTAAGCTATTAAAACCAGTTGGAAGTATTAATATGAAGTGACAATTCAAAACCTAAAGTCATTCATTAAAGTGTGTAATATTCAAACACTATTAGTTTATATTTTTCCACTTTCATCTGTTGCTGCAGTCAATTTGGGAAGATAGACTTCAGGTTAAAAAAATAAGAATTACCCTACTGGGTGAAATTAAAAATCCATTTAAGTGTCCAGCATCCTGTTAGGCACAGTGGCCATGAAACTCTGCTGTTGGTTTGTTTTGCTGAAAGAGACTAGATGAAATACTTTTTTGGAATTTGTCCCTATGGAAGGTCCCTGTAACACAGGAAAGTTGTGCTTAAAGAGAAAGAAAAGTAATATGGCATAAACCACAAAGGCGTAATATGGTTTGATACATGAAACTAACAAAAATGTAAATTAACCAAGGCTTTGCTTGTTTTGACAACTCTGTTTTAAACTCACCCTCAGACATACTTGGCTTGACACTGAAATTAGTCACAAAAAAGGACCTGAGGTAGATTATTTAATTTGCTGGCTTGCAGTTTACACAGCATTTTGAAACTGAAGGTAAAGGTCCATCAAAGCACTCATCTCCCAGATCATGCTACGGAAATTAGTCAAAATAGATAAAGGAGAGGGGGCATGATTAATCACTGTGGTGACTGTTTCATTTTTAGGACATTATCCAGATTGAAAATGATGGGCCTCAGCACTCCGGGTGCTGCACGTGCCACGATTCTGTAGAACTACAGAAAATGCAGGGTGTGATAGTTGAGAGAGAATTCACTTTCCTAAGAATCTCAGCCTTTTGTGTGTTAAAAGGAAGTGTTTTTTTAGTCTTTAGGGTTGCACAGCTATGCTTGAAAGAGTGGGAGCAATCTGCCAAAAGCTAAGAAGGGTGGATGAATAAGGTTTTCAGTGGCTGAGGGCAGTAACCTCACATAACTGGCAAAACAGAATGAATTATACAAAATAAGATGAACTATGCAGCTTTGCTGACATTGCATAATGTATATGGATCAGAGAATGCCTTTCTTGGCACAGTCTTTCTTGCCTGGTGCACGATTTTAGTTTGTATGTGATTGCATAGTTTGAGAACGCACATCTTCATTGGTGTGAAGGCTGTGGCCTGCAGGTGCCATAGCTGAGTATGCCTAGACTCAGAAGGGTGAGCTTGGGGATCCCTATGAGATGTGAGTGTGCTCCTGCAAAATGTTGTTTATGTACATGGATTGCACTCTTTGAACTAGGGAGATGGTCCTCAAGGAGAAACCTAAGGCTTCTCTACAAGAGACATTGCTTTACCAAAGCTTTTTCTTCCACTGGAAGAAAAGCAGCAAAAACTGCTAGAAAACATGGAGGAAGATGATGACAGTGTGAAAAGGCTCACAGACTTCTGTGAGTGAAGGACTGTGAGTGCACAATAAACACCTCTTGTAGAAAAGCCCTTAGGCCACCTATATAAAAGAGTGAAGCAGAAAAACAAGTCTGAGAGAAAGGTAAAAGAAAGAACTCCTTCCTGTATAATACAGGAATACTACTTTAAAAAAAGCACTCTCAGAGGAGAAAAGGGAGGAGAAGATGCATTTGTAATGGAAATGAGCAATTGGCCCTGTAGGTTTTATATTCACATTGCAAAGATGATGAAAGCAGCTACTGCTTTAAGACCATTGCAGCCTGAGCGCTAGGACTGAATTTCTTTCTCCTTCACTATAAAATTGGGCTGTAAACGTTTTCAGGGGTTGGAGGGGGGTTGTTTTGGGGGGTTTGTTTTGTTTTGTTTTCTATTTAAAGATGTGGGAGGAAGGAGGATAAGCATAATTCTAACCTGTTGAAAAAAAGGGTTGGGGGAAGTAGGAACTAACAAGGCAAAAGAACATTGCATTGTGTCAAGTGAAGGATTACCATCTGTCTAGGATTTGTATGTGGTTTGCTAGCTGAATGGAGATGGTTGCTCGTCTTTGTCATGTGCTGTCAAGTTGTCTCTGACTTATGGTGACCCCATGAATGAATACCCTCCAAAATGCCCTGACCTTCCCAGTGCTGCTCAGCTCTTGGCCTTCATCGACATACCCACTTAAATGAAACAGTTCTGCAGATATGAAATATAACCACCGAAGACATAAGAAATCTTGAGTTTTTGTAGCTGTGTAGGAAGATAGGTCCTTGCAATATGGGTGGAATGGTGGTTTCCAAGGGCGTGCTGTTTCCCTGTCCAATCCCTCAGGTTTAACTCATATAATTGTCAAAAAATCAGTTTCTTCCAAAAGGCACTATGAAGTTTCCTACTGTATATGGAAATGGTGTTTCTCTCTTACTTAAGGAACCCTCTTTTATTCTTTTACTGTCACCCTATAGAGATGGCTACTGTCTG